GCACTTCCCACTCAAGAGCCAAACGTTGGACCACTTCATAAGTTTTACCACTTTAGACATTAATATTAGTTTAGTTTTTAATCTTGAAAATTGAAAAATAAATATCTTTTTATGAATAAATTGTATGATTTAAAAGTTTAACATAAATAAAGTTGAATAACAATTAGATATAATTCACGTATTCCTTAATTATGCGCTAATTCTTGTGTCCAAACAATTGTCAAACAATTTCATAGAAATGCTATCAAATGAAGCGCTGATTGAATGCACTGAACAAACGGTCCCTAAAAATATTTGTCAACAATTGTGAGACAAACAGTGAATTGTAGGCAAAGTATTGGCGCTAAACGTATGCATCGATTGTGTCATTGATTTTGTATTGCATTTAACGAAGACATCGCTTCCATAAGTCACACCATTTAATCGCATCCATTGTCACAACACATCCCACCCGAAGACATGCCTCGAGAGATGATAACGCTTCAGTTGGGTCAGTGCGGGAACCAAAGTAAGACATATCCATCCATTGATGACACCCGACGTCGTTGTGTCCCATAATTGTGATGACAGTATTGACCACTCTTTGACTCTTTACAGTCGGCTTCGAGTTCTGGAAGAAGTTATGCGCAGAACATGCCATCAATTGTGAGGGCCTTCTGGAGCCGTTCGCCAAAGAAGGAGTGGGCGATCGAAGGGATGTGTTCTTCTATCAGGCGGACGACAATCACTACATCCCTCGGGCAGTGCTTCTGGATCTGGAGCCGCGTGTCATCAATACCATCAAAAACAGTCCCTTTTCTAAGCTCTATAATCACGAAAACATATACCTCTCGAAGTCCGGCGGCGGCGCTGGTAATAATTGGGCCAAAGGTTACAGTTGTGGTGAGAAACTGAGTGATGAGGTGTTTGACATCATTGAACGCGAGGCCGAGGGCTCGGACTCGTTGGAGGGCTTTGTGTTGTGTCACTCGATCGCCGGCGGAACCGGTTCTGGAATGGGTTCCTATATGTTGGAGCGTCTCAACGATCACTTCCCCAAGAAGTTGATCCAAACGTATTCCGTGTTTCCCAATCAGGAAGAGGTGAGCGATGTTGTGGTCCAGCCCTACAACTCTCTCCTCACTCTGAAACGACTGGCACTGAATGCCGATTGTGTTGTCGTTTTGGACAATACGGCACTCAATCGCATAGCTGTCGATCGCCTCCACATCCAGAACCCGACGTTCACTCAAATCAATTCATTGGTAAGTTCTATAACTCATTGATATATATTGAAAAGTTGACTAAATGGCGACATTTGTGTTGCAAAAGGTGTCGACAATAATGTCCACTTCAACGGCTACTCTAAGATACCCGTCATATATGAACAACGATCTCATAGGACTGATCGCACCGCTAATACCTATGCCTCGGTTGCACTTCTTGATGACCGGATACACACCGCTCACCACCGAAACCAATAGCTCACAGACAGAAGTGGCGGCTATTCGTAAGACATCAGTATTGGATGTGATGCGGCGTCTGTTGGACGACAAGAATATGATGGTATCGACGCTAATGCAGGCGCGAAACGCCGGCCACTGCTATATATCGATTCTCAACATAATTCAAGGAGAGGTCGACCCGACACAAGTCAACAAAAGCCTTATGAGAATTAGAGAGGGAAAGAAGGCTCAGTTCATCCCATGGGGTCCGGCGGGCATTCAAGTGGCGCTCTCTCGCAAATCGCCTTACATTCAGACACCACACCGAGTGTCCGGCCTTTTGATCGCCAATCACACCTCCATATCACACGTGAGTTGTATTCATATGCAATGCTTAAGACAATGTTTAATGAGTTTACGGTGTAATGCATTAGTTATTTGACCGAACTCTTCAACAATACGATAAACTCCGAAAACGTGAGGCTTTTCTCGAACAGTTCCGCAAAGAAGATATGTTTAGAGACAATTTGGATGAACTCGACTCCTCTCGAGAGGTGATCCAAGAACTTGTGGACGAATATATGGCCGCAACTAAACCCGATTACCTTCAGTGGCTTCAGAAGAAGTAGTCGGCGTTTCCAAGCAATAGATCGCACATTCATATGGGCTTTGAAACCACGTTTAAGTCTCGTTTGTAAAGACATGTAATTTAATGTATTTTAGTTTTTATCAATACTTAATATTAATGCGTTTTTTAATCTTTAAAAATAAATACATTTTCATTTAAACATTTAGAAAATATGGTAAAATTTAAGATATAATTCATGATAAAAATACAATATAAATGATAAAAACATTAAATAACTTAAGACTTTATACATAATATACAAAAAGAATTCAAAAAATAGACTTTAATGATTGAGTTAAGTAATCGGGTCGTGAGTGTCCAGTTCGGGAACCGGTGAGGGCGGGGGTGGGTATGGGTTGTTATAACTGCGTTCAGTGACGGGCGATGGCGGACCACTCAAGTCAGAGAAGTAGTGACTTCTTGGAGTGGGAGGCGGAGGGTATGGGTCGGAGTCGTAGCTGAGCTCCGCCTGAGAGTTGTCATAATATGCCGTGTATTTGATTGGCGACGGCTCGCTGTCCTCATAGACATCGGTACTACAGGGTGTGGGCGGCGGACCTCTCGTTCTCATCCAACGATTCTTCTTATGCCGATTCGGAAGAATGGCGTTTCTGGAGCTCCGAGAGTGGGCTATAGAGGAACTGCCGCACGAACTGCCCTCGAAGTTACACTGAGACTGGTCTGTGACCGGACTCGGCGGCGGGTTTAGTGTCTCTTTCGGGTAGTTATTGACCGAAGAGCTCGTAGACGAGGCGCCGGTAATATTGCGCTCATATAACGGATCACTGCTTTGTTGAAGTGTCGGACAGACGTTGAAATTGGCATTCGTTGGAAAGCGTTTTCCATTAGTGCTCTCAGAGCTCGGCAACAATGGATTGACCCGCAAATCATTTGGCTGTGGATTTAGCGGCCTTTGAGCACTCATTAGCATATCATTTGCCCCAAAATCCTTCTCTTCATATGTCTGTGCTTTACGTCTCCATTGGTATGCAATGATAGCCATAACTAATAGGACACAAATGGTGACAACAATGACCACGTGATAAGTTGGCCGAACGGGCGTCTGATTCGACAGCTCTAACGGCATTCTATCCCTTCTGTGTTGACAACTTTCCTCGCTTTCATCGGATCCGTCAATACAATCCTTCTTATTATCACACAATTGAAAAAGTGTTAAACAATTTCTACCGGTTTTACACTTAAACTCTTCTAAACCACAGCACAGTTCGTCGTAACCGTCCATACAATGAGGCACTCCATCGCATAGGACTGTATTGTCCAGACATTGAGCTTTTGAGACATCGCCGTTAGTTCGCGGACACATAAACTCAGAATCTGAACATTTGGCACAATTCAGTTCATCGGACTTGTCGTCACACTCGGGCTGTCCATCGCAGCGCCAAATCTGATCGCAACAAAAATAGATCATTAAATTATTAATTATAAAAACAAGTAAATTAGTAAATCATTGCTTACATTAGGAATACAATTGACTTTTCCTGTGAGACACGCGAACTGATCTGACGAACAGTGCGGAGGAGTGACACACGTGTGGTCATCATTGGACAAAACCATACTCATAGGACAGCCACACTTGTGAACGCTATCGTTATGTCTAATGAGACATAAGTGAGAACAGCCGCCGTTTTCGCTCTGAAACAATAATAACAAACTTTATTAGATAGTGAACGAGGCTTTCAGTCATACTTAAGACTTCACTCCCAGAGACTATCATTTATTGCTTTGGAAACATATGAGAAATAAGTTTTGCCACAAGTGATACAACTTTACAACTTTTGGCCATAACTTTATGTTTCAAAAAACTATTATGGCAAAAATAGCGAACACTTACCAAACATGCGAGTGCTGTGGAGTTTATACTCATTTTGGACACTGATATAATGTCTGTGAGTTGTGGTATACGATTGTAAACCGTCTGTTTCTGTCCATTTTGGGCCAATTTATTGACTCTTTCGATGACTTTCTGTTCCCTTTCAATCAAATACAAATAGTTGTCGTTAACGGCGATCGACAGCGGATGCAAAACATTTGATTCAACGATCACTCGTCGGTCTTCTCCTTCAAGAGAACTGCATTCAATGGTTTGGTGAGCGCTCTCTGACCAATAGATCAGATCCACTTCATTATCCACAGCCAGTGCTGACACTTCTTCCAAATTGGTCTCAATAATTGATTTTCGGGTCAAACCAAACAGATATGTCCTCTCAATCTTTGGAGGACTGACAGCATTCACCCAAAATAAGTAACTGTTTTGAGCGTCAAATATATTCATAAAAAATTAATTTGAGTTCACGTCAAAGCAAAATCACACAAACGCTTACCCTTTAATGTAATGCAAGGCTAGACTCCGGGGTCTCTCGAGTCCGTCGCTGACAATAGCGCCGACGTATTGGCCGTCGAGACGCGTCACGTTAATAGAGTTGGTGTGACTGCACGACCAGAATATGAGCCGCGAATAGGGATCCACTTCGAGATCGTAGGGCGCGTTCGAGTCGTGAGGATTGGGCAAAATAATAGCGGTTCCCGTGCCGTTGATGTTGGCCTTCTTGATGGCGTGCGTTCGGCTATCGATCCAAATGACAACGTGATCGTACGGGTCGTATGCCAACGCCTTTACATTCTTCAGATTATGAATGGGAAGTGTAATGTCTGGCGCGTCGGTCACCGAATCCATTGCCAAACGTGTGATTGTGTTTCGCTGACTGTATAGCAGAAAGTTTTGCGGAGCTTTTCATGCAAACAGAGAAAACACATTATATTCTGATCAACAATAATAGAGCACAGAATTTATTCCCATAACTCTATCCGTAATACAGTTTTACAATTATGTTTGAAAACATACCCAAACATGTCTTATTGTCGTCGTTTAAGACATAATGCGAAGAACAGAGACAACTGTGAGTGAATGCCCGCTGATTATTACCGGGCAGTGCCAGACACAAGTGATCGCAACCGCCATTGTTTACGGCACAGGGATTCCAACCGGACTGACGCGAGTTGTGATAAATTATTAGATCCACGTTTGCGTCGACAACAGAATCCAATTTAGTCTGAATCACAGAACTGTCCAATAAATTGGATTTGTTGGCCCTTTCGATCGTATTCTCGACTCCATTCGACCAATAGATGAAATCCTGATACAGAGTCAGCCCTCGGGGTTTAAATGGATTGTTTGGATCAGATTTAATGACGTCACTGGGATTAGTGCCGTCCAGTTCTGAGCTCATAATTTTATCGGCGTATGTGTCGATCCAATACAACAGTCTTCCCTTGTAATCGATGGTCAAACTGGTGGCGCGACCGGCTTTGGTCACAATCACCTGCCGTAATGTGCCGTCGAGTGCCGAGCGTTCAATCTTCTCGATAGCCCCCCAATCGCTCCAAAACATAAGTCCTTCGCTGGGGTTAAGCGCTATAGAGTGAGGATTATCTAAATCCTTCCAAATCAATGTCTTGCGATTGGAGCCGTCGAGTCGCGAGACTTCGATCCGATTGGAAGCGGTGTCCGTCCAGTAGAGGTTGTGAGCGATCCAATCGACCGCTAAACTCACCGGCGATTCCAAACCGAATTCAATTATGTGCTCAATATTACTGCCGTTCATAAACGATCGGCTAATTGTCTTCAGTTTAACGTCTGTCCAATAAATGCGATTATCTGTCAAATGGTAGTCGAATGAAGTGATCTCATGAATGCCAGCGATTGGTATAAAATCCAAATTATGTGATTCTAACGAAATCCGCCGAATGTCTGCCTTTCGGGAGAAGAGTAGAAAAGCTTCGGGAACTATACACGTGTGCATATCGCTGGCCAACTCGTAACCCATAGGACAGGCGCACACATTGGGCTGTTTAGGCTTATAAAGACACAAATGACTACAATTGCCGTTATTAACAGAGCATGGATTGGTTCCGATGATGCGGTTGACGGCCACTGCTTTCAAACCCATCAGATCGGGTAATTGATCGATAATTGTCTCTCTTTGTTCGCCAGTTATCTTATGGACCCTTTCGACAGACCTTCGCTGCCAATCACTCCAATAGACGTAATCGTTAAGTAAAGTAAAGCCAAAAACGTGAGGTAATTGATCCGAAACAATCACTGTTCTCTCAGAGCCATCAAAATTAGACTTTTCTATTTTGTCAGTCTTTGCGTCCGACCAATAAATTTTGGACAATTCATAATCGATGGCCAAACCATTAGGCCATCCGAGGCCTGTACTTATGACAACACTCCGTTGAGTGCCGTCCAGAGCAGCCCTCTCTATCTTAGCTCCTGAGCCCCAATCAGTCCCTAAATAAACAATTCGTTTATAATTTTATAACTAAAAATTAGCGAAAACTATTAACTCACAGAAAATTAGACCGTCTATTGGGTGAACGACTATCTCTCTATCTTAGCCCCTGAGCCCCAATCAGTCCCTAAATAAACAATTCGTTTATAATTTTATAACTAAAAATTAGCGAAAACTATTAACTCACAGAAAATTAGACCGTCTATTGGGTGAACGACTACAGCCCGCGGCTCATCCAAACCTTCAGTTAAAAGGATTTTCCTATTAGTGCCGTCAAGACGGGCCACTTCTATACGATCTGTACCCGTGTCCGTCCCTGTAATGCAAATACATGTATAAACATTGAACTAAATAACAAATAAATCAATTACAGTATATGTTGCGAGCGATCCAGTCTATAGCGATGCCGTCCGGATGATGCACTTCTGTGGACACAATGTCTTCCTGTTGCGAACCATTGAGAAAAGCTCTTCTGATAACATGAACGTCATCATCAGTCCAATAGATCTTCTTATCGGTCGGATCAAAATCAACAGCAATCGCGTGTTTAATATGTTTTAGAGGCAGCACAACATCCGTGTGATCGGATGTGTCGAGTGATATGCGTCGGATATCTACTCTTCGGGCCAATAGTAGAATCTCTTCAGCACTTGTGGCACATGTTTTGAGGTCAGGAAGAAGCCGAACACCGGTGGGACAGCCGCACGAATAGAAGGGAGAGTTTGTTGACAATAAGCAGAGGTTAGAACAGCCGCCGTTGTCGTGATCACAGGGCGTCTCCGATGACAACTGCCTCGAAGCCGAGTAGACATGAATATCCATTGGAGACAACTGTCCGCTTAAAATCTTTCTTCTATGACCAGTATTTTTGTTAAATGAATGTATGGCTCGCGTCGACCAATCGGTCCCTAATTGATAAATTAAAATTTATATTCAATACAAAACAATGAGAAGCGCTTTGACTTACAATAGATAGTGTCGGCCAACATCGTTATGGCAAAGGGATGCGGGAAATTGCCGTTAACCACAACCTTCCGATTACTACCCGAAAAGTCCATCGATGAGATAAACTTGAGCTTCGCATCCGCCCAATACAGCCTATGGTCGTAACAATCAGTTTTCATTATTGGGTTAATGCCCAACAAAATAGCAACGCATACCGTTTGGCCTCGTAATCAATGGTCAAACCATTTGGCCAATAGATGTTGTCTTTGACAACAATGGATCGAGTCATGGGCTCGCCATCCATCGATGCCCTCTCTATTTTGGGCACTTCTCCCCAATCGGTCCAAAACATTAAACTTTTCAAATCATATAATCAATTAATATCTTATAATAATTGTTAATAATTATTATTATCAATGAAATATTATTTTTAAACAGTTTTTCTAACTTTTAAAAAGTCTTACAATTGCGACAATGAAAGCGTTAAAAGAGAGCAGAAATACAATTAATAGATGTTTGAAATGAACACAAGTTTTTATAGAAAAATCAATTCAAATAATAGATACCCGTCGGCGGGCGCCAGTGCTATAGCCCGGGGCTGATCCAAGTCCTTCCAGAAGAGCACTTTCCGATCGGTTCCGTCAAAACGACTCACTTCTATACGGTTGGTCTCCGAGTCAGTCCAATACAACTTTCTCGTCAGCCAATCACAAGCGAGACCGTCGGGTGATATAATGCCCGTTTGGATGATTGTAAAGGCCTTGTCTTGACTCTCTCTATCTTAGCTCCTGAGCCCCAATCAGTCCCTAAATAAACAATTCGTTTATAATTTTATAACTAAAAATTAGCGAAAACTATTAACTCACAGAAAATTAGACCGTCTATTGGGTGAACGACTATAGCCCGCGGCTCATCCAACCCTTCAGTTAAAAGGATTTTCCTATTAGTGCCGTCAAGACGGGCCACTTCTATACGATCGGTACCCGTGTCCGTCCCTGTAATGCAAATACATGTATAAACATTAAACTACCAAATAAATCAATTACAGTATATGTTGCGAGCGATCCAGTCTATAGCGATGCCGTCCGGATGATGCACTTCAGTGGACACAATGTCTTCCTGTTGGGAACCATTGAGAAAAGCCCTTCTGATAACATGAACGTCATCATCAGTCCAATAGATCTTCTTATCGGTCGGATCGAAATCAACAGCAATCGCGTGTTTAATATGTTTTAGAGGCAGCACAACATCCGTGTGATCGGATGTGTCCAGTGATATGCGTCGGATATCTACTCTTCGGGCCAATAGTAGAATCTCTTCAGCACTTGTGGCACATGTTTTGAGGTCAGGAAGAAGCCGAACACCGGTGGGACAGCCGCACGAATAGAAGGGAGAGTTTGTTGACAATAAGCAGAGGTTAGAACAGCCGCCGTTGTCGTGATCACAGGGCGTCTCCGATGACAACTGTCTCGAAGCCGAGTAGACATGAATATCCATTGGAGACAACTGTCCGCTTAAAATCTTTCTTCTGTGACCAGTATTTTTGTTAAATGAATGTATGGCTCGCGTCGACCAATCGGTCCCTAATTTATAAATTAAAATTTATATTCAATACAAAACAATGAGAAGCGCTTTGACTTACAATAGATAGTGTCGGCCAACATCGTTATGGCAAAGGGATGCGGGAAATTGCCGTTAACCACAACCTTTCGATTACTACCCGAAAAGTCCATCGATGAGATAAACTTGAGCTTCGCATCCGCCCAATACAGCCTATGGTCGTAACAATCAGTTTTCATTATTGGTTTAATGCCCAACACAATAGCAACGCATACCGTTTGGCCTCGTAATCAATGGTCAAACCATTTGGCCAATAGATGTTGTCTTTGACAACAATGGATCGAGTCATGGGCTCGCCATCCATCGATGCCCTCTCTATTTTGGGCACTTCTCCCCAATCGGTCCAAAACATTAAACTTTTCAAATCACACAATCAATTAATATCTCATAATAATTGTTAATAATTATTATTATCAATGAAATATTATTTTAAAATAGTTTTTCTAACTTTTAAAAAGTCTTACAATTGCGACAATGAAAGCGTTAAAAGAGAGCAGAAATACAATTAATAGATGTTTGAAATAAACACAAGTTTTTATAGAAAAATCAATTCAAATAATAGATACCCGTCGGCGGGCGCCAGTGCTATAGCCCGGGGCTGATCCAAGTCCTTCCAGAAGAGCACTTTCCGATCGGTTCCATCGAAACGACTCACTTCTATACGGTTGGTCTCCGAGTCAGTCCAATACAACTTTCTCGTCAGCCAATCACAAGCGAGACCGTCGGGTGATATAATGCCCGTTTGGATGATTGTAAAGGCCTTGTCTTGACNGCACTTTCCGATCGGTTCCGTCAAAACGACTCACTTCTATACGGTTGGTCTCCGAGTCAGTCCAATACAACTTTCTCGTCAGCCAATCACAAGCGAGACCGTCGGGTGATATAATGCCCGTTTGGATGATTGTAAAGGCCTTGTCTTGACTGACACTACCATTAATTTTGATGCCTTTAATCATTTCCAACCCGATGTCAGCCCAGAAGATAATACTGTCTTTGAAGTAGTAGTCGAGAGCCGCCGCCTCTTCCAAGTGGTTCATAATAATCGATGCGTTGGGTCTTTGATTGTCTGAATTGACTAAACGGATGTCTTTCCGATTGGCAAACAATAAATATGTCGGACGAGTCACTCCTGATCGAGAGCCGCCGCCTCTTCCAAGTGGTTCATAATAATCGATGCGTTGGGTCTTTGATTGTCTGAATTGACTAAACGGATGTCTTTCCGATTGGCAAACAATAAATATGTCGGACGAGTCACTCCTGAAGAATACAAATACAATTGGCGGTCACAAAGAGATTACACATGTCTTAAGCCATACCTGAGGCGATAGTGAAGTAAATAAATAAAATGAATAATAAATAAATGCATTTGTGATTGAATTGATGTCTTCGGCGGTAATGAAGTGTTTGTTTGTGGCACTCGTTGGCAGAATCGATGCCATCAATGGATGTCTGGCGCAGACAATGACACCCATCGTTGTCATCACTGGTGGCACCCATTGTGGGCACAATTGTGGTCACCATTTGATGAGATACTAATTGTTAGCCAAAAGCCGGTGTCAAGTGTTCACATGTCTTCACAATGTCTTCACAATTAGTGCTAAACTTGTAAACAATTGTCTCATCGAAAGACTCATACCTTTGCATACATTCTCACGTCTATTGTGTGTATGAATAGTGAGACTCAAAGTGAGAGTCAAACACATCTCAAACCCAAAGCACACAAAAAGCCATTTCTTGAAGCGATCCTTAAGTCCTATCGCTTTCTTACAGCCAATCAAACAAAACCATTCACTTCAATGGCATTCAATCACTTTCCACGTCTAGCGTCACCACATGTTCCCAACACTTGCCCCAAAATGCCCGCTATTCTGCTAATTGTCCATTTAGTTTCGCATTTTTTTGATTTAATCATGATTTACAATTAATTTACAGTAATATTAATAATTTTATAAACAATTTCACAAATCACATCAGTTTAATATTATCATGTTATTAGAGAAAAAGCAATGCACATCTGGTCACTCTATATGGGCACAGCTTCTGCCCCAATGGTTGGGCACACGTGTTGTGCACAATAGCCGTGCAGTGAATACAGCAATACATTCTTGATTTGAATGAATTCATTATTTGTAATATCATTAAAATTAATTCACTTGAAATTAATTTCAAAGTAGATATTAAAGGCTTTTTACTATTCAATGTTTCACATTATGTTAGGATTTAGATGAGACACGAGTTTTCAATAACATTTCAAATGATTTTAAATAAAATGCAAACTTTATGTTTGAAATAAATTTATTTGGAGACAAATCTTTTGACATTTGTTTCGACAAATACTTACGAAAAATAATAACAATCGAGTGATACTTACCTAACGTTTAATTTAAAAAAAAAGTCTAACGAAAGTGTAAATTCGTATTAAATTACTGTAAATTATAGTCAAATCTAAAAATTCGAGATTAGAGTCAATTAGATGTTTAAAAAAGCAAATCATAATAAATGTAATGAGAAAATAGTGTCCACTTTAAGGCGAATACGACCCCTCTTTGGTATTGTAGGCAACATAAGTGGGTTGACTGTAGTCTTGAGCGGTGAACTGATCTTCAGAGTTGTCGTCGCCATACGCTTCCTGGAAGGGCTCCTGACTCTCATACATATCACTATTAGAGTAAAGGCCTTCTTCTTCCACTTCTTCCGCCTTTATTTCATTCTTAATGGAATCAATTTTATCGCTTCTATTGTTTCGTTTCCTTTCACGGCTATGACTGCGACTTCTTCCGCGACGTTTGCGAGACTTTTCCTGAGGCAAGTCCTGGTCTCTACTCTCAGCCCTTCGCCGTTGCATACCGTCGTCGCCCTGACCCACACCCGACGGTTCCTCGACGTACACACCATCGCGAGAGTTCTTTGACCGATCGGAGCGCCGGTGACTCTCATAGCCATCACCTCTACGACTACGTCTGTCACTCCTCTCCTTATCCCTGTCTCCTCTTTCTGGTCTCTCGCCTCCTCTTTCTGCACCTCTTTCAGGTCTCTCTCCGCCTCTTTCAGGTCTCTCTCCGCCTCTTTCAGGTCTCTCTCCGCCTCTTTCAGGTCTTTCTCCGCCTCTTTCAGGTCTATCTCCGCCTCTTTCTGGTCTCTCTGGTCTCTCGCCACCTCTTTCTGGTCTCTCTGCACCTCTCTCTGGTCTCTCACCACCTCTTTCTGGTCTCTCACCACCTCTTTCTCGGCTCTCACCACCTCTTTCTGGTCTCTCAACACCTTTCTCTCACCACCTCTTTCTGGTCTCTCTGCACCTCTCTCTGGTCTCTCACCACCTCTTTCTGGTCTCTCACCACCTCTTTCTCGGCTCTCACCACCTCTTTCTGGTCTCTCAACACCTCTTTCTGGTCTCTCCCCTCCCCTTTCTCTGGGGCTTCGACTTCGTCTGCGTTTATCGTCCTTTCGCTCGCGTTCTCTATCTTTGCTCCGACTTCTCCTCTTCTCCGGTCTCTCACCTCTATCTCTAGAATGACGGCGCGATTCTCTGTCATACCCGCGTTCACTAATGTTAAAGCATATAATAAGTATGTTTTAAAAAACCACATTTCCTGGCGGTTAAAACAAACCGTTCATCACTTCTGCCGTCATCTCTTCCCGAGTGTCTAATATTCTCATCCGGCGCTCCCTTTCGAGTGCCACCCAATCCTCCGCCTATATATGTAAGCAATGAGTTATAATAAGGTAAACAATACAAGAATAACAAAGCAATGTATAGTACAAACCGAGTCTACGGGGGAGCCATCCCTTGACTGTGCGCCCCCTCTCAACATCGACCAAAACCCTGCGGCCGTCGATCTTCTTCCCGTCCCCGTGTTTATAGGCGGCTGTGATATAGAAGTCAGAACTGATAAAAACAATACTTACCAAACGCTACGCATACCTACCTATCTATTAATACTCACCAAATATTTATATATCTATTTAGTAACACAATACTAAACTAACCCTCATTTTACCCCAACTAACAAAATCAGTAATCAAATTGAGTTCATAAAAAGCAATGCATTTACTAATTGTCTGTTTATTGATTGCAAAAATCGTAATATTTTCTAATTTTCTGACGAATGAAATAAAATAGTTTTTCTTGTCGTAAATTTATTTCAAATAGTTTTCACTGCATTAAATTGTTCACAAATCTTAGCATATTTTAAAATGGTCTTAAAGTAATTGCTAATAATTATCCTTAATTAAGATATATGTAAAGAACATTACCATCAAAACAAATCAAAATGAGTCCCTAATTGTGGTGATAGGTTCGCATGCTATCAACTATGAAAGTATCAATTATTGGTAATTTAGATTTAGGTCTAGTTTGCAATAATAGCACTAATAATGAATTGACACAAAACTATAATAGAATTACAAATATAGAGATGTAATAACCAGAGCCTTACCGAAAACACAAGACATTATACCTATTGATAACTTACATCGCATACAAACCCTGTTATTATTGTCTTAACTATGGATCTATTGAATGGCGGACCAAAAAGTTGGGCCAAATATAGCTGCATAAGAGATGAGGTATAGGATAAGTGAGCCCTTTATAAACAATTTCATTATCACATAAACAATCATTTAAAATACATTTAAATGTTGGGTAAATATTCTCACTTAATATTTACACATTTCAATACACCCTTTACTTTACACTTTCCCTAATGATTGTTCGCAACTCTTATCCAAATAATCACATCATTTGATTCTCAATCATCTTTTAGTCGCCAATCATTGGCTGACATTAATGTTTGGTTGAAAAAGCGTTACAACACTTACCGATGAAGAAAGCGCTTCAAATCGGTTCACAAATATAATCATAATATATATACCTATTATACTATTTTACTCATTATATTATTTATTATTTCAAATATTACCGTAAATTCTCACCAAAATTACCTCAAAATCAACGCTTTAGAGCAGAACTCGCGCTCAAAACACAACTCAATTAAGGCTAACAATTGAATTAAATGAAACTTACAGTGCATTTCTCTCTCGTGTTCAAACTCTATGAACGCATAGCCCCGAGGTTTGCCGCTAACCTTGTCTACACACATCCCTATCTGCAAATACAACCAAACATACAGTTACTATCACTTCGACACTTCCAAACGCATACCTTCTTAATGGGTCCGTAGGCCTCAAACTCACGCCTCAGTTTGGCTTCAGTCGTGTCGTAATTAATTCGTGCGATAAATAAAGTCTTATAGGGATCAGAGGTGGCGGTTGTCGACGACGACGGATCCCCTGAAGATTAGAGCAAAATAATTACTAAAAGAGACAACGAGTGGATAAGTATTGGACGCATACAAAGAGCGATTCCCTGTTCCAGTTTATAGGCCGCCTGTTCTGCCCGTTCCCGCCGTTTGCGTTCAATCCTCTCCTCTCTGGTCTCGAGTCTTGTGGGAAGAGGTGTGTCCTTCGGGTCCTTCAAAGACAAACAAAGACAGCGTTAATGTGATGGACAGGTGTTGAGTGTGTCCTCAATGGAGGTATACCTCGAAGTTTGAGAGGAGGTGTCCGACGCCCGCATAGCCTCTGGTCTTCTTCTCGTGCGGCAACTTCTGTGCCGGCGGTAGGAATGGGATCGGCTCTCGAGGCGCGAACAGAGCCAACAGATTCGGTGGCAAGTATTGGGTCATCGCTTCAGATCAACAGACAATCCGAAGATATGTTTCATACAAATTATAATCAATTGTTTTGATCATAAATGGCGTCAAAAACACCGCATAAATGACGACAACAAGTGATTGACGTATTGTGTGAACACATGTCTCAACAAAACCAACGAAACGCTTGTTTTCAAACAAAATATCAATAATTGGTTTTGAATTCAATTTCTATTCAATTAATAGCGATATTAACCGCCGAAGAAAGCGATGATAATTCCCATCCGTTGTTTCACTTGTGGTAAAGTCATTGGCAATAAGTGGGAGCCGTATCTCAATCTACTTCAGGCCGAATACACCGAAGGGTAAGTGTGTTTCGGTGACCACCGCCGCCACCGCTCGCGTGTCTTAACCATCGGATCTAATGTATGATTATTTACGTGATATATAACTAGCGATGCTTTGGATGCGTTGGGACTCAAGCGGTATTGTTGTCGTCGTATGCTTTTAGGACACGTGGATCTCATTGAGAAACTACTCAATTACGCTCCGCTCGAGAAGTAATCACCGCTCGACTGATCCCATCATCACCTTCTCTATCGCTGAATACCTTTTCCAGCCTTTAATTATAACTTAACTCTCAATCGATGTATAAATAAAACTCATTTCAAATGTATTAGTGGTAATAAAATTCGTGTTTATTTTAAAGAACATTCATTTATTGTAAATCAAAGTCGAGTACAAGACTAAGCGGTCAGAACACACGCCCCGCCGACGCTGAACTAGAAGCGAAGCCGCGAAAACGACTTTTTGGACCGGAAGTGATAGTCGCCGACGAAGCCCTCGGCAGGAAACGGATTGTGAAACTTTATAGGGATTTTTATATTAGGTTAGTTATTAATTTCGACAATTATTGGGCAATAATAACAAATGAAAATGCATTACGTGTTTAATGACATCAATGACGGGCGCCTTCCCGTCGGTGCTCTTCTGGTAGTGCTCTCGCATACGATCGCCGACCAGAGCCCAGATCTGCTCGATATTAATGGTCGGCAAATAGTGTTTCAGACTATTCTTCTTGACGTGAAAGGTTCGCATTCCCACTTTGCCGAAGTAACCAGGATGACTGTACACACACACACACGCGTTAACACATGGCATTACATACAAAGTGGTCATTCAATAACACTTACTATTTATCGAAATGAATCCGATGGTGATGTTGACCGCCGGCATTACCTCTACCGCCGGGATGTTTGCGGTGTTTACCTAAAGAGCAGATAATTAATTAGTAAAGTAATCAATGGGTGGTAATGATGGCAATGCTTCGAAATGAATCCGATGGTGATGTTGACCGCCGGCATTACCTCTACCGCCGGGATGTTTGCGGTGTTTACCTAAAGAGCAGATAATTAATTAGTAAAGTAATCAATGGGTGGTAATGATGGCAATGCCATGTGATAATCACATACCGATGCGTCCGTGTCCGTGAGACACGTGTCCACGAAGTTTGCGGGTCTTCTTGAAACGGGTCGGCTGTCAATACCGGAGTAATCATTGCGTTAATTAAGCGATCAAATGATTGGTCAAAAGTGGTAACAATAAAGTGATTTAAATGATTAAATCAATTGATTGTTAAATAACTTACCATTTCTTGATGTAATGAATACAGGAAAGGGAAGCGCTTCAGTGATGGGCCGCACAATCAATGATGGCTTCAAATCTAATGACAACAAAAGATTCAACGCTTGTCTCTCTCTCTTTATGATCAAAACAATTGATTATAATTTGTATGAAACATATCTTCGGATTGTCTGTTGATCTGAAGCGATGACCCAATACTTGCCACCGAATCTGTTGGCTCTGTTCGCGCCTCGAGAGCCGATCCCTTTCCTACCGCCGGCACAGAAGTTGCCGCACGAGAAGAAGACCAGAGGCTATGCGGGCGTCGGACACCTTCTCTCAAACTTCGAGGTATACCTCCATTGAGGACACACTCAACACCTGTCCATCACATTAACGCTGTCTTTGTTTGTCTTTGAAGGACCCGAAGGACACACCTCTTCCCACACGACTCGAGACCAGAGAGGAGAGGATTGAACGCAAACGTCGGGAACGGGCAGAACAGGCGGCCTATAAACTGGAACAGGGAATCGCTCTTTGTATGCGTCCAATACTTGTCCACTCGTTGTCTCGTTTAGTATTTATTTTGCTCTTATCTTCAGGGGATCCGTCGTCGTCGACAACCGCCACCTCTGATCCCTATAAGACTTTATTTATCGCACGAATCAATTACGACACGACTGAAGCCAAACTGAGGCGTGAGTTTGAGGCCTACGGACCCATTAAGAAGGTATGCGTTTGGAAGTGTTGAAGTGATAGTAACTGTATGTTTGGTTGTATTTGCAGATAGGGATGTGTGTAGACAAGGTTAGCGGCAAACCCCGGGGCTATGCGTTCATAGAGTTTGAACACGAGAGAGAAATGCACTGTAAGTTTGATTTAATTCAATTGTTAGCGTTAATTGAGTTGTGTTTTGAGCGCGAGTTCTGCTCTAAAGCGTTGATTTTGAGGTAATTTTGGTGAGAATTTACGGTAATATTTGAAATAATAAATAATATAATGAGTAAAATAGTATAATAGGTAT